CAAATGTGGCAGTTTACATGAAGGAAAACTGCGATTATTCACCAAAAGAAAGCGGGTAAACATTAATTTTTTTAAATTAATTAATTATCCTTTTTATTTCAGATTTCACCCAAAGCCACAAGGGTATTAATTGTGATTATGTCTGAGGTTGGGTTTTTTTCTGTTTCGTAGTACAAATGAAATGTATGAGCGCAGCTATTTTTTGTCCTGTTTTGTTTTGCTTTTGACCAGAATTATTTAATTCCAGGCCACGCCTTTTTAGACAAATACGAGAAATTATAGATCTACTTTTAATTAACACCACATTGAAGTCTAGGCGCACCTTTTTGTTTTTTGTAAGGCTGTGCGACGTGGCACGCTGTTCTTGCCGGCGAATAAACACATTCAGGATTAACGTTTACTTGACAATGTTGGCAAATAAGCACACTTTGTGTCGGTGGAAAGCATCACAGTCACAGCTGTCTGGCTTGGACATTCGGTCACGTGGTTGTCTCTACCTGGTCGGGCAGCTTGTCACGTGACGAAATGGGGACAGTGGGGGAGGGAGAGGGGGGGGGGAGGCTGAGGAGAGAATAAAGAAAAAATAAATATAAGTTACTCTCAATAGTAAGTTCCATCATGGTTGTTAAAAGATACGATTAATACATGAATGCCTAAGGTAAAACCTGTTCTAATCATTATCTTCAATGCCTTTCACCCCTAGCAGGGTATAGGCCACATACAAGCTCCTTCCATAAAATTATCTCTATCCTTGGCCATCCTTCCTAGCTCGTTCCTGCTCTAATGACCACCTACAAAGATGTACACATATACAAACAACCACTTCCCATTTCTCCCCTCGCGTATTTCGTACATTATAATTGGGGGGTTGGCGGGTGCTCTGGTGTGTGTGCGTGCTCCTTCATTCTTATCAAACATTTATCACCTCTATCTTCCCTCTTTCTTATTTAGTGTTTGTTGCTCTCTTATAACACCTCTAATCTTCGGCACTTATGTGACCTTATTGTGTTGCATTTGCCGTAAAACTCTTAGGAAAACAATAAGTACACATTATAACGACATTGCGTTAGACGCCCATCTGTTTTTCTCCTCGACAAAGGATGGCCTTCTTACACAATTGCGACAGTGTTTGTGAGACATCATGGTGGAATCAGGCTCTCGTCAAAATAATCAAAGAGAAGAAACTAGCATTTATCCGCAGGTTTGTGAATTTTTATCAATTTTTCTTTAGACTCAACACCTTTCTTTTACCCATTAAAGAACTAAATTATGTGCGGATTTTTCTGAAAAACGTTGGTTAAAGGCACAACAAATGTAAATTTTCAGTTACCACGGACTCTTAAGCAAAGGAAAGAACTAATCTTTGGCTGCCAATTTCTCACTAATTTTGCCTCTGAAAACGAGTGACCCCCACCTCTTTCTTTCGCAAATATCTCGACTTGTATTCAAGGTTAATGGATATTTTTTTCATCCAAATAAAGACTGGCGAAAAAGCTTCAGGATGATACCAATAACTCTACATGCCCAAAAATTGACGAGCGCCTGATTCCACCACGCTGCTTCACGTTTGTATTTTCATTTGTTTCGCAATCTCTTCATACAATCAAATAAGCAAAAGTCAAAAAACACTAAACACAAATTTGATACAAATACGAGCACACGCAGCATACGAACTCATATACCGAAAAAACTCTCTCTCTCTCTCTCTCTCTCTCTCTCTCTCTCTCTCTCTCTCTCTCTC